GCACATTGAATGTGTGGTTTGTGGGGACAAGTCTAGTGGCAAACATTATGGCCAGTTTACCTGCGAGGGTTGCAAGAGTTTCTTCAAGCGGAGTGTAAGGAGGAATCTCAGCTACACTTGTCGTGCCAACAGGAACTGTCCCATTGACCAGCACCACCGCAATCAGTGTCAGTACTGCCGCCTCAAAAAATGCCTCAAAGTTGGCATGAGACGGGAAGGTATTGGGATTTCATTTGTTTTGCAATTTTTTTTTTCACTCGCTGCGTTTTGGGTTGGTTTGGTTGTTTTGGTTTTTGGTGGTTGTTTTTTGTTTGGTTTTTTTTTTTTTTTTTTAATTCTTAGTATTTTTAACCTCCCTCCCCAAACCCCAAACCCAACCAGAACCTTTCCTTTCCCCCTCCCTCCTACCCCCCCGGAATAAACAGACAGAAACTTTCTCGTAATGAAAGAAAGAGGTGTTGGAGAAGGGTGGGCAGGGGAGGCAGGGGCTCTTGCATGCTTTCTCCTGCACTCGTAATTGATTTGTGTTTGTTTTGATTTTGCTGATGGAGGTTTATTGGAAGTGGATTTTTAGTTTCACGCTGCTTAGGAGCGAGATGATTATTCTGACGTGTGGTGACTTTTCCTCCGTGTTTCCTCCTGCATGCTCAGCCTTACCCCCCGTCCCCCGGGCAGCTCGGAGCGGGTGTGCCTGGCTGTCTCCGTGCGGGTGTGTAAACACACTCGGAGCCTCACGAGATGCACACGCACGGACGGACACACGCACATATATATCCCCCAGCACCCTGCCTTAGATTGCAATTTTACACAGGCGGTTCAAATTACTATTACAATGGGACTCACCCTACCGAGGCTCTACAGCACTCCACTGTGGATTCCCAGCCGGATTTTTCCTCTTTTAAAAATATATATACACACACACATCTCCGCGCGCGCGTGTGTGTGTGTAGATATATATATAGCCGTGTGCCTGCCTTTCCCGATTGTTATTTTCTCACTTTTCTCCTCTTCCTCTTTTTTTCTTGTCCCTCCGGGAGAGGCAGGAGGGGGTAGAAGGGACGGGGACGGGGACGGGGGGGGGAAGAAAGGAGCAGCCCAGAAGTAAGTGTGGGGTGCTCGGGTCTCTGCAAGTCGAGTCTTTGTGATATAAAATTAGACGAGAAATGTGAGCCTGCAGTTTTCCAGTGCGTGCTCTGTGTCTGGACGCTGCTATGTAGGTTAAGGGTTAGGGGGCTTGGGACTTGCTGGGCTCCTCTCTTTGTGTTTCTGCAAGAGTAACTAACCTTGTAATACGGGCGATTACAAATATAAATCAAGTATATTTTTAGGCGTTCTCCCTTCTTGCCGTCTCTCTGTTCCTGAGCCCTTTTTCTCGCTCCTTTTTCTCTCGCTGTCACCGTGTAAATTTATTAACAAAATGAAAGGCCCACTTTCCATGGGCAGCTGAGGAAGGTGCCTTTGGATAATGCCCCCAGCCTCGCCGGGGGACCTGCCGGGGAGGTTGTGGGGTGATCTCGCCTCCTGTGACATTTTTTAGAAGGGGAGGGGTGGGGGGGTAAGGCTATAATAACAGCAGCAACAATATATTCGGGGGGCGAGAAACGCGTGCGGGACCAGCGCCGGGGATTTTGAACTGAAGTGTTTCTTCCCTCTCCCCCCCGCTCCCTCCCCATCCCATTCCCCCAGCCTCAAATCAATAAGCTGTTTTAGGTGTAATGAAGAAAAATAGCCGGGCACACAAAGACGCATCCTGCATCTCTTGAAGGAGGGGTGGCAGTGAAGCTGGGGGGTGTGTGTGGGGGGAAGGAATAACTGAATTGTGGTGTGTTTTGGGAAGTGAGGAGCTCGGGCTCCTTCAGGCAGTCCCGGCCGAGCGGACAGCGTTGCTCAGCTTTTATTGTTGCTTTTGCTTGACCCGGGAACTGCGGAGCCCTAAAACCGGGTACGGGCTGAACTCTGGCTGGAAAAAATGCATGTTCCCCCTTAAGCTGACCTGGTGCGGTGTCACACACACACGCACAAGCACACAAAGCAGGCTGTATTTGAACCGATGGTCGCAATTCAGATATTAATAGCTGTAGTTTCTTCTTTATTTACTGCAGCGGTCCAGAGGGGCAGAATGCCACCCACACAGCCAACTCATGGTCAGTTCGCCTTGACAAACGGGGACCCTCTCAACTGCCATTCCTACCTATCCGGATATATCTCCCTTCTTCTGAGAGCAGAGCCCTACCCCACCTCCCGCTTTGGCAGTCAGTGCATGCAACCCAACAACATCATGGGCATCGAGAACATTTGTGAACTGGCAGCTAGGATGCTCTTCAGCGCGGTGGAGTGGGCCAGGAATATCCCCTTCTTCCCAGACCTCCAGATCACAGACCAGGTGGCCCTCCTGAGGCTGACCTGGAGCGAGTTATTTGTCCTCAACGCTGCCCAGTGCTCCATGCCCCTCCACGTAGCTCCGCTCCTGGCAGCTGCTGGCCTCCACGCTTCGCCAATGTCTGCTGACCGAGTGGTCGCCTTTATGGACCACATACGAATCTTCCAAGAGCAAGTAGAAAAACTGAAAGCATTGCATGTCGACTCTGCAGAATATAGCTGTTTAAAGGCCATAGTCCTCTTCACCTCAGGTAGGCAGCGTTTCTTTGCTCTTCCTTTTTCCTTCCCCCGGCCCCCCCTGAGAACTGTTTGCTCTTGCAAAGTGTTATTGCCTGCACCCCATCACCGCTCCCTGGCCCCCGAGAACCAGCGCAGTCTCTTTCCTTTTAGGAGACGGTGCCCTGTGGTCTCCCCTTCAGGGCCTCGCATCTGAGCATCCCATCTTCCAGGGAGCGCAAAATGAAAAAAAAAAAAAATTCAATAAAACAC